AAAAACATATTCGTATAAATTATTGTATCTTTTACCAATACACGACATGATAAGATGCTCTACCGGTATACATAAATGTTTAAATTAATATATATATATATATATATATATATATATATATATATATATATATATATATATATATATATATATATATATATATATATATATACATATATATATATATATTATATATATATATATATATATATATATATATATATATATATATATACATATATATATATATATATATATATATATATATATATAATATATATATATATATATATATATATATATATATATATATATATATATATATATATATATATATATATATATATATATATATATTATTATATATATATATATATAATGTAAGTTAAGTAATGTGAAAAATGTGACTAAATATTTTTTATCGTGGTCTTTATCATGACCTTATTAAATTTTATTATGACCTTAGTGAGGGTTAAATAAAATGCTAAACAAAATAAATAAAATTATGTTTAAAAGTTTAGTCCGAACTAGTTTTGTTTAATAAGTTGACGTAATATTTGACGTATTGCGTTATGCGCTTGAGATTAATTAGTTGCGCAATATTTTATTTGTATTAAAAAAAATTTTGAGAGATATATTTACTCTAGGGCTGATAATTTCCAAAAAAAATTTTATTGCAATAAAGCTATATAGATTTACAAAGTTTAATTCTTTGTTTCAAAAATATGCGTTTTATTGTCGTTCAAATGAGAATGTTTTGCAAAATATTGAGTTGACTTGAGCCTGGGAACTAAAATACCACAAAATTTTGACACCATTGCTCCATAGGTGGGGACAATAAGCTAATAAAAATATTTTTTTTATCTTATGACACATTTAAATTTATCAAGAGAATTTAAATTTGATCTTGTAATCTCTTAGTGATAAAAAGTTATGATCATGTGAGATTTTCACCCTCTCCAAAATGAGGGGGTTGTATATTTTACTTGATCATTCAAACACTAAATGATTATTATATGAAATTAAAAACCTGTTATTGAATTTAAATATATTATAAAACAGTATAAAAATATTTTATTGCATCTTTGCCTCTTTTTCAGTTGGAGTAGAGAACAAACATATTTGGGTATTTTTGTTCCGAGGCAGCAATTGCTACACTCCATGACTTTAACATCGTCCAATTCAGTTATTAAAGTACATTTTACATGATATAAAATATCACACACATCACAGCACACCCGCTGATTACCTCTATCTCCATGGAAACTACAATTAGGACATACAGCGTAATTGTTGTTATCATAATCACTATCATTTTTATCTGTAGAAACTCTTATTTTTTGAATTTTTTTTCTTTAACTTTTTTTTTTTTTCTTGGTTTTTTGAAGCTTCTTCTCTCGTTCGTTTTAAACATGTTTCTGATGTTAAATTTTCACCATAGCAAAACCTAATAAGCCGAGCAGATCTTCTACGATGAAAGGGTGATCAGTAATTCTGGAAGAATTTTTTTTCTTTGAGACTGATCACTGTAAAATAAATCGGTGCGGCAAAAAACCGAAATCGGTTTTTCAGGCTGAAGCCAGATTGAAACCTTTTTCGGATTTTTGAAAAACCGAAAAAAATTGGTTTTTCAAAAATCCCTTATATTACGTTTCTCAAAAAACTCAAATTGGTTTTTTAAAAAACCAAAATTTTAAATTTTGCCGTGGAAAAAGCACTGGGGTGATTTTGGAGAACCGTGCCGTCACCTTTTTTTCTTTCAGAAATTGGCTATTTTTTAGAAATCGAGGATTTTTTCAAAAAATCAAGTAGTGAACTACCCCCCCCCCCCCGCCTTGGATTCAAAAGAATAATTAACTAATTAGCGGTAACCACAATTTAAAATCGTAATGTTACCATATACCCTATTTATAGAGTGTTAAGAAAAACAAAATTATAACACAGATAGTTTTTTTAAATATTATATCAATTTATATCATATCATTTAAAGTTTGCATATTTTTGATATTTGTTTTGCTGTTTTACAAAGTTTAACTTTATCCGATATTATGTGGTGTTCAATAAAATTAGATGTTTTTACTAACGGCTTAGGATAGGCAATATCAAATAAAAAATATGCCGCCATAACCATAGTGACACCACATGAAAAATCTGGAATATCTGATGCAACAAGTAATTTATTGACAAATAAATCAATAGAAATTGGTCTAAGAACTGGGCCTTTAATTCGGAGAATCGGAGTGAGACAAACCGGATCCTAAAACAAAATTAAACATCAAGTTACTATTAAAGTATGCATAACCAAAAATTTGCATTAGCACTGGATTACAATAAAACTCTTACTGTGTCAAAAACATATAGTAAACACTTTTCCTCTGTGAACAAATGAACTAGCATCGCAGCTCTTAAATTCTTCGAAGTGCCTAAATTGGATAAAATGCTGCTTACAAAAAGAGGAATATGGGTGAAAGTGAGTGGGTTTTTGATTTATTTTAAATAGTTTAATATATATATATATATATATATATATATATATATATATATATAATATATATATATATATATATATATATATATATATATATATATATATATATATATATATATATATATATATATATATATATATATATATATATATATATATATATATATATATATATATGTATATATATATATCCCAGCCGGCACAACTCGTTAAAAAATTACTAGTGGTTTCTGTTGCGTGTTTAAAACTCCTGAAAACACTAAGAATATCACGTGTCAAAAATAGTTTTGATTCCGTGAAATTAACTACTACCATTTACCTAGAATATTAAATTTTTACTAATGGCTTCACAATTACAAAAATGGAATATTATATTATTTAAAGTTTCCGTTACGAAACCACGAATAAAACCATACAAAACTTATCGACTAGAACTGTACAGAATTTGGAAACAGAACGATTTTGTAAAAGCGTTTTCTTCTAAAGCATGGTTTGTAAAAGTTATTCGGAAATAAATTTTCTCTTTACATAAATTGTGATTTTACTTTATATCACATTATTTATGTCTATTATTGTCAAATATTAGTATTTATAAATACTAATATTGTTATAAACATCAACATAAAATGCGTTATATATATAACGCATTTTATGTTGGTGTTTATAACAATATTAGTACTTATAAATACTAATATTTGACAATAATAGACACAAATAATGTGATATAAAGTAAAATCAAAATTTATGTAAAGTTTTTCAAAATTAAATTAAATTTATGTAAAAAAAAATGTAAAATCAAAATTTATGTATATATAATTTATATTTATAATATACATAATATTATGTGTTATATGTGTTATAACCCATATATATATATATATATATATATATATATATATATATATATATATATATATATATATATATATATATATATATATATATATATATATATATATATATATATATATATATATATATATATATATATATGCCTATTCATATTTGGTATGTTTTACAACAGGGTATGTGGATTTTAATAATCAAACATTTACTGGAACGAATTCTAGACAACTTGTAAATTGTTCTACAATTTTAAAAAAGCCAATGAGCGAAAATTTAATTGCTGCTGATGAAAATAATTGTGTTGAGGCTCTAGTAGCCTTTTCAGGTAAAAGTTAGTATTTTTTCAGCGTAAAATAATAATGTCACAACATCACTTAAAAATAAAAATAACCAAGATTGAAAAAACTGTCGATATGGCTGTTGGTCTTTTACAACAGCTTTTAGATAAAGGTTCAAATGTAGTTACGTTTGATCAGGTTACCTCAATGGACGACCTGATAAAATTCGAGATCCGTCTTAAAGACAATTTAATTAAAGAAAAGTTAACGCGGAAATTTGAAGCAATGGGACCTGTCTGCAAAGATTCAAAAGCGCATTGCTATGCAATTTTAGATTCACTTATGACCGAGGAAGTGCAATCTAAAGTTAATGTTAAGTATGGTAATCACGTGCCAAACAAAAATTATACTGACCATTTGTCATTAACACACGATTTGCCTTTGATTTTTTCTTCCTTTCTAGCATCGTTAGTTTCATGGAAGGTACCAGAAAAACTTTTGAAATACTTTTTGATTGAAAGGTTGAAGCAAGGTATGAGAAGAGCTCATGCTGCCAAAAAAGATCAAACTGTATATTCTTTATCTTTTATATTTAGTTTTTTAGTTGGTATATTTATATTGTTAATGGTAAAAAAGCTTGGAAGAAATTGAAATATAATTTAGGATTTTCTTAAAAAAATGCAAGTAAAATATAATAAAAACGATCATATTTTAGTTGAAGTCAATCGAAGTTTAGAGAATTTATATATGTTGATTGGTAAAAAGTCACCAATCATTGATCAAAAATTAAAAAAAAAGTAGTTTGCATGATTGAAATCTTAGTATAAATTCCGTAGCAGGGTTAACCCTAACCCCTAACCCCGTAGCAGGGTATATATATATATATATATATATATATATATATATAAATTATGTTAGTGTATTCTACAAATAGAGTGCTCAATGTTCGTAAAGAACAGAGCAATAATAATTTAGTAAAAACACTTATCTAATTTTTTTTCTCTTCAACAGCATGTTTCACCATCAGTAGGTTCATCAGGAAGAATGTCTAAAGATCAAAAAATTCAAATTATGGAAAAAATTATTTCACAGGAAGTTGGGAATTGTTATAATTAATTATTAAATAACTGTAGTTATTTTGCAACCAGGAAGTTGCATCAACTACATTAGATAATTAAAAAATCATGAAAAGAATTCTTTAGAAATAGCATCATTTTAGACTGGTCATTTGTTTTTTATAATTTTTTAAAAGAAACTTATTTTCTGCATCGTCTGCATTTAGAAATTAATTCAAATTTTTTATTCAGTAAATTATCTTGATCTAAATAAGTAATAATTTCAAAATTCTTGTAAACATAGTATACATTTTTTAGAAATTTTATTAAAGGCAGACTCATTTTAATAATCATATAATAGTTTTATTAGGGAGGCATTTTTTATTTTATTAGGTTTTTTTATTAGTTTTATTAGGAGCAGTTTTTAGAATAGACCAGTTTAATTTAAAGTTAAAATTTTTTTCTTTTAGTTGACAAATATATTTTGAAAGAATAGTCTCTTTTCAGTATTTTTTATGTTTAAAAGATTGTTTGTGGTTGGCATAACGTTTTTTCCATTTGCCTTGGTTAAGCCAATTGTTTATCGGGGTTGTTTTGTGAGGAAGCAATGTATTTGTAAATAATATTTTTTGATAAGCATTTGCCATTCATAGGGCAGTCAATTTTTTGCCTACAGTTACAATTTTCAGTATTTTTATCTTTAAGAAAATTATTTTTATTAATTAATGCAAAATTATGACCTTTTATAATTCTTTCAATATTTTTTGTACAGCTATAGCTTACTTTAATAGTGTTTCTGTTAAAATTTTTTTTTCAAATTATTAGAGGAAAGGAAATGTTTGTCTACTAATTATAAAACTTCTTTTCAAATGTTAGTTGAAACATTTTTGCTGTACAGAGGGCTTCAACCAAATAATATTTCTATTTCTATTTCGCTTTTTTGCAGTTTTTGTTTCAAATTTTAGCTCGAAATTTATATATAATATATATAATATATATATATATATATATATATATATATATATATATATATATATATATATATATATATATATATATATATATATATATATATATATATATATATATATATATATATATATATATATATATATATATAATATATATATATATATATATATATATATATATATATATATATATATATATATATATATATATATATATATATATATATATATATATATATATATATATATATATATATATATATATATATATATATTATATAATATATATATGATATATATTATATAATATATATATATATATATATATATATATATATATTATATATGTATATATATATATATATATAATATATATATATATATATATATATAATATATATATATATATATATATATATATATATATATATATATATATATATATATATATATATATATGCCCATCACACTGATTGGCTTGGCTCTAGTGTCAGTGACTCTGCTGGCGTTAAGGCCCTCAACTTTTGCCTTTCTCAATCTCTAACTCAAATAGTCAACTTTCCAACTCGCTTTCCAGACAACCCTAATCATTTACCTTCTCTACTCGACTTATGTCTTGTTTTGGATCCTAGTCAGTGCTCAATTTCTCCACATTCACCCTTAGGTGCTTCTGATCACGGTTTGATCTCTCTAAAACTATTATCAAATTTTTCTACTTCATCAGAATCCCCCTATCATCGTACCACATACAACTACCTTAAAGCTGACTGGGACTCTTTCCGTGACTTTCTTCGTGATGGCCCTTGGGTAGAAATCTTTCGTCTTCCTGCTGACAATTGTGCTTCTTACATAACTTTGTGGATTCAGGCTGGAATGGAATCTTTTATTCCCTCTCGACGATTCCAGGTCAAGCCTCACTCTTCTCCTTGGTTTTCCTCACAATGCGCTGCAGCAATTTCTAATCGAAACCGTTACTTCCATATCTATCAGCAAAACAATTCTCCAGAAAACAGACGTCTGTTCATTATCGCCAGAAACCATTGTAAAAAGGTTTTGTCTGACGCCAAAGCTCGCTATTCTCAGGTCATAAAATCTCGTATCTCATCACAAAAATTAGGCTCTCGAGACTTCTGGAGAATCTTTAACAGTATCAATAATAAGGGCAAATCTGTTATTCCTTCTCTCTTGTATGGTTCAGACTTTGTCACCTCACCTAAAGACAAAGCTGAATTGTTTGCTAAGAACTTTTCATCAATATCATCTATTGATTCCACTAGTTGCGTTCTACCTGACATAGCCGTCAAACAGGTTGACCCTTTGCTTGACATTCGCATCACTTCAGCTTCTGTATCAAAAGTAATTTCTAGCTTAGACTCTTCAACAGCTTGTGGTCCTGACAACATTCCTGTTGTTGTCTTGCAGAAGTGTTCTCCGGAGCTTTCATCCATACTTTCAAAACTATTTAACAAGTGCTTATCAGAGTCCTGTTTTCCATCATGCTGGAAAGCAGCATCTGTTATCCCTATTTTCAAAAATTCCGGAGAACGATCTGATTCATCTAACTACCGTCCCATTAGTCTTCTTCCTGTCATAAGCAAGGTTTTTGAATCTTTAATCAACAAACACTTAATCTCTCATCTTGAATCAAATGACTTACTTTCTGATCATCAATATGGATTTCGATCTTCTCGTTCTACAGCTGATTTGCTAACAGTAATAACCGATAGGTTTTACCGTGCATTAGATAGAGGTGGAGAGGTTAAGGCTATCGCACTTGACATTTCTAAAGCATTTTATAAAGTTTGGCATGCTGGTCTTCTCCATAAGCTTTCTTCTTATGGTGTATCTGGTAACATCTTTAA